ACACCTGGGCACATTTGGGTCACCCCTGGGCACACCTGGGGCACACCCGGGTACATTTGGGGACACCTGGGCACATTTGGGTCACACCTGGGCACATTTGGGGCACCCCTGGGGCACACCCGGGTACATTTGGGGACACCTGGGCACACCTGGGCACATTTGGGTCACCCCTGGGCACATTCGGGGCACCCCTGGGCACACCTGGGGCACACCCGGGTACATTTGGGGACACCTGGGCACACCTGGGGGCATACCTGGGGGCACACCTGGGCACATTTGGGTCACCCCTGGGCACACCCGGGTACATCTGGGGACACCTGGGCACCCCTGGGTCACCCCTGGGCACATTTGGGGCACCCCTGGGTACATTTGGGGACACCTGGGCACCCCTGGGCACCCCTGGGCACACCTGGTCACCCCTGGGCACACCTGGGGCACACCTGGGTACACCTGGGCACACCTGGGCACCCCTGGGCACCCCTGGGCACACCTGGGGCACACCCGGGTACATTTGGGGACACCTGGGCACACCTGGGCACCCCTGGGCACACCTGTCCCTACCTCCTTGCTGGTGATGAAGGTCATGAAGACGTCGTCGCTCACGGTCGTCGTGGCCACGTTGGGCCCGGGGGCGTCGAACTCGGAATTCCCAAATTTCTTCCAGTTCTGGGAGGGGGGAAATCCCAAAATCCCGGGAAATTCCGAAATGCGCCCGTGGGAACGCCTCGGTCCCGATCCCGTCTCCCAGGGAAATCCAATTTATTCCCGTTTTTCCCCAGGTTAATCCCATTTATTTTCCAGGTAAATCCCATTTTCCAGGTAAATCCCATTTTCCAGGTAAATCCCAATTTTTCCCATTTATTGCCCAGGTAAATCTCATTTATTTCCCAGGTAAATCCCATTTTCCAGGTAAATCCCATTTTCCAGGTAAATCCCATTTATTTTCCAGGTAAATCCCATTTTCCAGGTAAACCCCATTTTCCAGGTAAATCCCAATTTTTCCCATTTATTGCCCAGGTAAATCTCATTTATTTCCCAGGTAAATCCCATTTTTTTCCCATTTCCAGGTAAATCCCATTTTTTCATTTTTTCCCAGGTAAATCCCGTTTTCCCCAGGTAAATCCCATTTTATCCCAGGTAAATCCAATTTTTCCCAGGTAAATTCCATTTTTTCCCATTTTTTTCCAGGTAAATCCCATTTTTTCCAGGTAAATGCCATTTTTCACCCATTTTCCCAGGTAAATCCCATTTTTCCCCAGGTAAATCCCATTCTTTTCCCATTTTTCCCCAGGTAAATCCCATTCTTTCCCTATTTTTTCCCAGGTAAATCCCATTTTTCCAGGAAAATCCCATTTTTCCCTGACCTTGCGCCGGGCCACGGCCTTGGAGGCTTTGCGGGTCTCGATCCGGAACGTTCGGATGATCTGGGAAAAACGCGGGAATGGGGCCGGGAAATCCCAAAAACCCCAAACCTGGGGCCCTCAGGGGACAAATTCGGGAATTCCCAGAGCACCTGAGCCCAAAAAACCCAAATTTGGGAATTCCTGGAGGACATGAGCCCCAAAAAACCCAAATTTGGGAATTCCTGGAGGACCTGAGCCCCAAAAACCCAAATTTGGGAATTCTTGGAGCACCTGAGCCCCAAAAACCCAAATTTGGGAATTCCTGGAGCACCTGAGCCCCAAAAACCCAAATTTGGGAATTCCTGGAGCACCTGAGCCAAAAAAACCCAAATTTGGGAATTCCTGGAGCACCTGAGCCCAAAAAACCCAAATTTGGGAATTCCTGGAGGACATGAGCCCAAAAAACCCAAATTT